TATATATATATATATATATATATATATATATAGACACACACACAGTGGACCATTTAAATCTCACAAGAACTAGTTACAAATTTTGTGAACCATTAGTACAACATTAGAAATTTTGGACATTTCAGACAATTCAACTATTCCTCAAGCCTTTCTGTAAATTTATTGCTTCCACCATTTGAAGGAAACCCAATCCAGAGGCCATCTACCCTGATAGAACAGTAAATTTATAAACAATGATTTATAAGCATAATGAAGTGATTTTATTTTGAGGAACTTTATTATGCTTATAAATTACTGTTTGTCAATTACCACTATAATAGTGTTATGCCTCCAGTCATTAGTTGATTTTCCGTAACTTTGTTCCGATGAAACTTTAGTGACACAAGTCCTTACTAAATAAAACTGGTTTATTCTTTCTGAATATAACTTTATGATACAATATTTTCAACAGTTGCGCTATAACAAATGCTATATCTCACATGGCCAACAATATTTTGTCCGCATACATTCAATTACTCATTACACTGTTGTCCCGTCATGTTGTGAGCATCTTATATATATACCAGACTAACATATATCTCATAAATGCTAGGGCATTCTTGAAGGAACAGGATATTTCTAGAAATACGTGGCGTGATACTAGTCACATGACCTCACTGACGCAACAAAGCATAATGTACATGTACTTCTACAGAGAAGTACCCTGTTAGAAAAATAAAATAAAACTGTCTCACCAGAAGATGACTTTTACTCTACCAAACTTTGTGTCCCTAGTCTTACAGTTATCTCCATTAAGTACACACACACACACATAAGAAAAAATATGATGCATCAACACAATTCCCTCAACAATCTTAAAAAACCTCAATCTGATCCTCTGTAACTCTTCTTTTTTCACAAGAGAAAATGATTTCAGAGATCTTAACTTGTCCTTGTAGGACAACCCTTCCATCCAAAGTATCATCTAGTAGTCCTTCTCTGAACCCTGTCCAATAATTGAATATCCTTCCTGAGATAAGGAGCCCAAGACTAAACACAATACTACAGATGCGGCCTAACCAGCAACCTATATAATGAAATAGCCTCTTTATACTTATATTCAATACTTCTATAGATATAATATAAACTCCTATTTGCACTAGCAATAGCAATCAAAACACCGAGATCTTTTTCTTCCAGAACACTATTAAGTTTATTCTCTTCAAAATTATGTTTATAATGCAAATGATAATAACCTATATGTATTACTTTGCATTTCTTATAATTAAAAACCAGCTATCATTTATTTGTAAAGCAGCAACATTCTACTTACAGCCAGCAACACCAAAGATCTTGATATCATCAGCAAATTTAAGTAATTTATTTACCATTCCTAGGGAAATGTAAGTATTGCCCTGGAAATTATATGACAGTTAGTCTTATATATCGGTATTGGAAAAAGTGATACAGTCTCATAAAAGGAGCTTTGCAAAATCATTTAATGAAATATATAAAAAAAAAAAGCCAATGTGTATTAACTTAATGAAAGTTTTAACTTACAAATCTGTTAACATTTTATTTTAAGAATGTTACTTATTATCTGGATGATGGAATGGGTGTAGCCATGGTGAACTTAAGATTTTTGAAAAGACCTTTAGTAAGGTACCATAATAAAGATTAGCCAAGAAAATCACATCCATGGATGTGGGAGAAAAACCTGTTAGTTGGACTGAATGGTGGCTTGGTAAGAGAAAGCAAAAAGTTGTTATTAATAAAACACAGAAAACTAGGCCTTCCTTACTGGTGTTTTGCCTCAGGGGTCAGTGCTTAGCTCATTGTATTTTCTTTATAATAACAGCTTTGATTTAGACATAACTAGTAATTAGCATCATTTTCTATCAGGCAGGCAGTAGCACTGCCTATGTAGGGATGGCTCAGATTGTTCATTGAAATGGTATTTTAAATATCTCCTCAACAGATCATCAGAACTTTATATTACTATACAGAATTTTCTTTTATAACAATATCTAAGTAATTACCCAGTCACAAGTTCTAGCACTGTCTGTAAATATCATAGCAAATAAGGTTGAATTTCTTGTTCTTCTTTTTTTTTTGTTACACAATAACTCAAAAACCAAAACAATGGTGTCAACCAAATTCTCTGAGGTGACAGTTTCAAACAGAGTATCTGCTTTTACAAGTATTATTAATAACTAGTAGTAATTAAAAAAAAATCATACTTTTAGTGTAAACAATATTATACTTACCCCTTGAAGTTAACTTTCTTACAGAAATGTAGTGTTCCTTTAAAAAGCTTAAGTACAGGGTGAAACAGGAATTACCAGCCAATAAAAAATAAACAAATATTACAGTTGCAACCTCACTGTATTTACAACTTGATTATAAATACAACCTTCTTATGTCTATTGCAACACTGCATTAAAAAAACAAGCAAACAAGTAAAGAAAAAAGTTTTCAAAAAAGGAAGTATATGTAGGGATGGCTAATATCAATCCTTCAAAAACAATGCAAACAAGGCAGCAGGGGTGGCACTTGCACAACTCATACATAATAGCACAGGCAAGAATTAACATATAACAATATATACAACTATTCAGTCACAATTGGGTTTAATTTATCCTATTTTTGTCTGTTAACATTCTACTACGCTATGTGCCTGTGCTGTTACATAGGGATGATGCAAATGCCATCCATACTATCTTGTTTCCATTGTTTTTGAAGGATTGGTGTTAGCCATCTCTACATTTACTTCCTTTTTTTAAAAAGTTTTTTTTACTTGTTGACATTAAACTCTTGGATATTTCTAGTTGGATTGAAAAAGGTCTGTAATTACAATGACACTGATATTAACTAGTGATCAAAAGTTGGGCAAACAATTGGCAAATGACCTTTAAATATAGTAGGAGCATTTGGGTTATAATGATTTGGATCCCATGTTTAAAATAGAGAAATAGAATCTTCACATAAATATATTAGTGGATAAACCACTCAAGTCATGAAACAATATGTTGCTAATAGTAAAGCCAATATAATCTTATGGTGTATTATAGACATACTGGTTAAAAAAAAAAAGTCAAAAGAAATAATTATCCCTCTATAAAGAAAAAAAAGACTATAAATTTGGCCTCACTTAGAATATTGAGTATGGTTTTGATCTCTTCATTTAATTAAGGATACTGAGGTACTGGAAAGGGTTCAAGGTAAGATTCCTGGGACAGAAGTTATTTTACAGAGATGAGTTAAGATATTTTATCTCAAAAAAAGAATGGTAAGTTGTGATCTTATTGTAGTTTGCAACATTAAATAACATAAAAATCTCCAGTCTCTTTTTGTGCTATATTCTGAAAATAACAGGACAAGAGGGCACAAGTTTAAGATTCTGAAAATACAGGCTATTAGTGGTAAGCAATATTACCAAATTAAAGGTATATTGTCACAATTACAATGATACTGTTTTGACAATGCAATATTTACTATTCAAATTTAAGATACCAATATAATTAGTATTCATTGATTTGTGAAAAAAATCAAATTGTTCTGTGCATAACTTGACAGTTTTGAAAAGTGAATGCTAGATGTTTATACATTACAATATCTTCACTTCTGATCAGTTGGATGTTTGAACACACAGCACACTGTACTGATTATCAAGCATTCAATGATACATGATTATGAAACGAAAACAGAAAGGAGTTTATTCTGCAGCACTCCTACAATTACTTCTTAAAGATGTTTATGTAACAACTAATAGACCTAACCTTTATGTTTTACTTCTGATAATATTTTGAACAAAAATAAGATTGATATTCATTATTAAGATTAAATATCCTTCTTCTTTCATTGTGTTAGTGTTATGGGATTTAATTTTTAAAACCTGGGGTGCTTGTTTTTAAATTAGATAAAAAAATCTCAAGAATGTCTGGTAGTGATGATAACACATGTTGTTCAACTGTATCAATTATGATTAACATTGGCCATTTCGTGATTTTTAGTTTTACACTAAACTTAGTAAGTAATTATTATTACCGACTTACTTTCAATTTTCCAACAAACATCATAAATTCAATCACCTTAGAAGTGTTACTAGCGGCCATTTTATATAAATTAATCGTATTCCAATTACTTTATTAAGAAAGAAACGATGTATAGTATTATAAATTACAAGGCCTAAGAAAGGATTTGTTATAGTATTACTGCACATTCAGTTTTGATACAGTTCATAAAAAGCATACCTACCGCTAAAAATTTACTTAAATAAGAAATTGCAAAGAAAACTCAACTGAGATTTTCAAACGTCTAATTGAGAACAAAAATGTTTATACTAATTATAGTAAAGAACAATAATGAAATTTACATTTCTTTCGAATAATCTAATCACACTTCAGCAAAAAATATTTTATTGCAAGGAATTCTAATTGAGTGTATTAGCATATTGTGTGTCAAAAATACAGCAACTGTTCAATCTGCAATAATTTTAAATGATAAATGATTAGAAGAGAGAAGATATTTTATACAGATCAGCTAAGGCATATCTATTTTGCTTATTTGACATAGATGAAAACGATTATTTGCCCAAACGTGTTATATAAAACTTCTAATCGTAAGAAAAAACATTAAGTGCACTGAACTATACATTATTTACAAGTGAATAATCCAAAACAACCAACCAACAACAGAATAGCGATTTATTCGGTTTCGTAACAAATAGATAGATTAGCACAAATATGTAAATAAAAATATTTTTTTCGGACGTTTCGGGAAATGTATGTACCTTCTCAAAGGAATGCTATAGCATACTCTTTTTATCTATTTGGGAATATGGCATGGGATTACCTATTTCATTCTTTATAGGTTTGGTTTGTTTAGAATTTCGCGCAAAGCTACTCGAGGGCCATCTGCGCTAACAGTCCCTAATTCAGCAGTGATAGATTAGAGGGGAGGCAGCTAGTCAACACTACCCACCGCTAACTTTTGGGCTACTCTTTTACCAACGAAAAGTGGCATTGATTGAAACATTATAACGCCTCAATGGCTGATCAGGCGAACCTGTTCGGTGACGGGAATTGGAACCTGCGAAATGCAGATTGCGAGTCAAGCGCCCTAATCACCCAGCCATTTATTTCTTATTAGTCAAAAAAATTATTATGACTTAACCATTATGTCGTTTTCATTAATTTAACCAATTGGATCATAGAGGAAGGGTGGGGTACATGGGTTGTGGCTGTAGGTTTTGATGAGCGATTTGGCCACTTGGGGAATTTCAGTGGGATGGGTGCAGAAAATATTGCTCAATAGTGTTATATTTTCCATCAGATATCTATGTATAATGATATATAATGGTAGCATAGGGTTATATATTCCATAGATGACCATGAAAATCACTTGCACCCCTGTTACCTATCCTCTTTATATGATCTTTAAAACATAACACAATATTTAGGGACAACAATTAAGGGACCTGTTGGTCCATCCAGGCTGTCCCATCTACTAAACTAAATTAAAACTATTTTTAAAAACCTCAAAGCCAGCTCTTATTATTCATATTGTTACGTCTCCGTTTGTTAATTGATTTTTTTTCCCGTAACTTTGTTCCAACGAAACTTTAACGACACAAGTC